ACAGACTCTAAGTGTACATAAACAATGTTAAACCTCAAACTTCTAGAAAAAGAAGAGCAGGCTAAGCCAAAAGCTTGTACAAGGAAGGAAATTATAAAAATCAGAGCAGAAATTAACACACTGGAGACTAAAAAAACAATACAAAGAATCAACGAATTGAAGAGTTGTTCATTGAAAGATTAAATAAACTTGACAAACCCTTAGCCAACCTTATAAAGAAAGACTCAAATAAATGCAATTAGGAATGAATAGGGTGAAATCACAACACATCCTACAGAAAATCAGAAGATCACCTATACCTACTTTGCAAACTTGTATTCTAACTGATAGATCCTCCATCTGTCTGTAGTGCAGTTAGGAAAAAAAAAAAAAAATATATATATATATATATATATATATAAAAAAGATCCTCCATCTGAGAGACAGCATAATCATGATGACAGTTCAAAACTGTGTGCTATAATGCATAACTCCTTCTTCCCAGAAGCCCCTATGGCCTCTTCCTCCCAAAGTCTTTGCCAAAGCTCAGGCGTGTAAAGATTTACCCAATCTGGAGGCTGGGGATTTAGCTCAGCGGCATAAGCGCCTGCCTTGAAAGCAGGCGGTCGTGAGTTCGGTCCCCGGTATCAATAAAAAAGGAAAAAGACAAAAAAAAAAAAAAAAAAAAAGACTTAAGATTTACCCAATCCCCTGCACACTCACAAAATAAATCAGCTCACATTAGTTCCCAGAGCCTATCCCCTATCAGAGCCTATATTAGGCAGAACCTGCCCTTTGTCTGCAGAGAGCCACCACAGACTTCTCTGTGGTGACTCACTTGACACCCTCATTAAACTCTTTCTTATCTAGTTGCCCCCTCTCTATTAATATTCTGTGCTGCTCTAGATTGAATACAAAGTTTTGACTCAGTCACTAACAAGATGGAAAATACATATGAAATGGACAGATTTCCTAGATACATATAAATTAACAAAGCTGAATCAAGCAGATACAAAAATTCTAAATGGGCTAGGGATATAGCTCAGTGGCACAAGTGCCTGCCTGGCAAGGGTGAGATTGTGAGTTTGATCCCTAGTACAAAAAAAATCTAAATAACCTGATATCAATAAATGAAATCGAAGATGTAATTAAAAACCTATCAACAAAGAAAAGCCTAGGCCCTAACTGATTTACTGCTGAATACCACAAGAAATTTAGAGAAGAACCAACACTACTACTTCTCAAACTCTAATGAAATTGAAAAGAAAGCAATGCTTCCAAATTCATTCCTGGAAGCATTATCTTGATACCAAAACCAGAGAAGGAACTGACTAAGAAAGACAATTATAGGCCAATTTCCATCATACACACTGATGCAGAAATCCTCAGTAAGATACTGGCAAACAGACTGTAGAAATCATCAAGAAGATTGTACACCATGATCAAGTGGGATTCATCCCTGGGATGCAGGGATGGCTCAACATACGTAAATCCATAAATGTAATACACCATATTAACAGGACCAAGAACAAAAATTATATGATAATCTCAACAGACGCAGAAAAAGCTTTGACAAGGTCCAGAATCCATTCATGATAAAAACCTTACAGAAAATTGGAATAGATAGTGATAAAAGCCATCTTACAACAAAAGCCAACATCATACTAAATAGGTAAAAACTGAAAGCTTTCCTTTTAAAATCAGGAACTAGGGGCCAGAGATTTAGCTGAGCTAAGTGTCTGCCTAGCAAGCACAAAGCATGAGTTGGGTCCCCAGTACCAAAACAAAACAAATAAAATCAGGAACAAGACAAGACATTCCACTGTCTCTACTCTTATTCAACATAGTCCTAGAAACTTTAGCTGAAGCAATTAGACATGAGAAAGAAATAAAAGGAATAAAGATAGGAAAGGAAGAAGTTAAACTATCATTATTTGCCGATGACATGATTCTCTACTTTGAAGACCCCAAAAACTCCACCAAAAGACTTAATAGATTTAAGAAGCAAATTCAGTAATGTAGTTAAATACAAAGTCAGCACTCAAAATTCAATAGCCTTCCTGCATGTTAATAACAAACTCACTGAGAGAGAAATCAGGGAAACAATACCTTTTACAATAACATCCAAAAAAAAAAAAAAGAGAAATACTTAGGAATCAATCTAACAAAGGATGTAAAAGACCTCTACGTTGAAAACTACAGTACTCTGAAAAAGGAGATTGAAGAGGATATTAGAAAATGGAGAGATATTCCGTGCTCTTGGTAGGAAGAACCAATATAATGAAAATGGCCATACTTCCCAAACTTTTATGCAGATTGAGTGAAATCCCAATCAAAATTCCAATAGCATGTCTCACAAAATTAGAGAAAACAATCATAAAATTAACCTTAAACCAGAAGAGACCTAGAATAGCAAAGTCTATCCTAGGCAACAAAAATAAGACAGAGGGCATCACACTTCCTGACTTGAAATTACATTATAAAGCCCCTGTGAGAAAAACAATGTGGGATTGGCAGAAAAACAGACCCAAAAATAAGATGCAGAAACAACTACAGGCACACTAAGCCACCTTATCTTTGAGGAAGGTGCCAAACACATTCAATGGAAGAAAGATAGCCTCTTTAATAAACAGTGCTGGGAAAACTAGCTCTACACATGCCAAAGATTAAAACTGAACCCATCTCTTTCACCATGTACTGCTATACACTAGCAAAAAGAACTTCGTTATGTTTATATGACCAAAGTATCTGTAAGGCTGCCATACCATTCTGTATGCAGTTTTTTTCCCCTCTGAGTGACCTAATTGATATGTTAATTGATATTCCCCTCTGTAAAGAATTGTAAATCCTTGGGAACCTAACCTAATTGATATGTTAATCATTGTTGCCCTCTACAAATAACAGATGTGGTACTAAAATAAGCTGACAAAAGATGGTTAATTAGCAGAGGACTTCTCTGTCCTCTGCTAAGGAAAACATTTTGCCCATAACCAGTTACTTTGTAAACTGTGATAGTACATAAAGGCTGCAAGCTTTGAGGAAGACACACAGCTTTTGCAAACTCCAACTGCACTGTGTCACTAGGCCCAGCATAAAATAAATCAGGGCTGCTTTTTTAAAATATGTTTTTGCCGCATTTTTTGAACTCGAGTTTGGGGGCTTGTTTGTGGATTACAAGAGTACTAAGCTAAAATCAGAATGGATCAAAGATCTTAAAATTAAAACAGAAACATTAAACCTGCTGGAAGGTAGAATTGGTAAAACTCTTGATGACATTGGTGTAAGCAAAGATTTTATGAGTAAAACCCCAACTGCACAGGAACTATCACAAAGAATCAACAACTGGGATCTCACCCTATTGAAAAGCATTTGCCCAACAAGAGAAACCACCAACAGAGTGAAGAGACAGCTCACTATGTGGGAGAAAATGTTTGCCCACTGTACCTCAAACAATGGATTGGTATCGAGAACATACAAAGAAAAATATCAGTCCTCTCAGATGTAAAGACCCAATCCAAAAATGGGCATCTGAGATGAATACCCACTTTTCTCTGATGAAGAAATACAAACGGTAAATAAATGTTTAAAATGTTCAACATCACTCACTAGTCATTCAAGAGATGCAAATTAAAACAACACCGAAAGAGTGAGCTCCTCAAAATAAAAGTGTCTCTTTAGTTATCTGGAAGGAATGAATGGGTTGGTCAGCTGAAATTGAATGCTAACTTTGCATATAGAATTATGCGGTTTAATTTTTAAATACTTGAGAGAGATAAAATTTATGAGTGAAAAGATTATTTTTGGGGCTGGAGATTTAAAAATGCTCAGTGGCATAAGCACCTGATTGCAAGCAGGCAGTCATGAGTTCAATCCCCGGTACCGATTAAAAAACAAAACAAAACAAAACATTATTTTAATTTCTCCAGAGCCAAAAACAAATGAAGACCTTGAGATGGGCAATTTCCCAGTTTGCTTCAGTGGAGAGGATTGTAGGAGAAGATAAGTATTTCTGTGAAAATTGCCATCATAACACTGAAGCTGAGCAGTCTTCTGTTTGACAAAATGACTTAAGTTATAACCATTCATTTGAAGTGCGCTGCTGCTGGTGGCTTGGTGTGAGTATTGTAAATGAAAGTTATGTGAAGAACAAGCTTCTATAGAAGCAAAATTTTGTTAAAATACTGTAATAGTAGGAGTACAACCAACGTGTTGATCAAAATGAATTTGTAAATATTGCCTTAGAAAAAGCTTTGTTCTCTTATTAAAGTGCTTATTAAAATGTTTTAAAAAATAAAAATAGGACCGGAGTTTTAGCTTAGCATCATAAGCAAGCACAAGGTCATGAGTTTGATCCCTGCTACTAAATAAATAAATAAAAATAAAACAACATTGAGATTCCACCTAAACCCAGAAAGAATGGCTAGTATCAAGAAATCAACCAATAACAAATGCTAGAGGGGAAGGGATGGGGGAAGGATGGTTAAGATTCTTAAGCTAGTCGGGAAAAAGGAACCCTTCTCCACTGCTGCTGGAAGTGTAGAGTGGTACAACCACTGTGGAAATCAGTGTGAAGATTCACCAAAAAAATAGGATTAGTGGTTCCATTTAACCCACCTATTCACCTTCTGGGTATCTTCCCAAAGCATTAAAAACATGTACCCAATGTTTATAGCAGCACAATTTGTAATAGCTTCACCTTGGAAACAACCTAAAAACCCATTGACTGAGGAGTGGATAAAAATAGATGTGGTATTTTTATACTATGCAGTACTACTCAGCCATAAGAACAAAAAACTGGAGACTTTTATAGGTAAATGGATGCAATTTGAGACCATATTCATCAGTGCAATAAATCAGACACAAATGTAAACATTGTATCATCTCAGTGAGAAGCTGAAACAACATATGTATATGTATATAAAAATAGTTCAGATAGTAATATTATTATCTCTGAGTTCACTGAAGAAAAAGATTTGTGTTGGTATTGTTTGAACAATTAAAAAAAAAAAGAATTATACCAACTGTCAATCAAGGCCTGCAGTTTGTTGTAGCTGCAGGTTTCAACACAAGCCCAAAGAAAAGTGTTTCTAGGGTCTGCTGGCCATTTCAAAACTTTGGAAATGCAATAGTCAATTCTTAGAAAGAAGTAATTTAGAGCCCAGTGCAAGCCTGAGAAGAACCCATGCCACGAGGGTCTGCCACAGAGGGTCTTCTACCTGGTGAGCCTAACCCAGACCCAGAGAAGCCATGCCCCAAGGCTCTGCGCCATTGGAGGAGCATAGATGAACCACAGCCCATCACCTCTCCAACACTTGAGGAACCTGTGCTGCAAGCACCCAGGTACCATGCACAATCCTCTACAGCGAGGGACTAGCAGCCAGCATAGGAAAAACCTGAAACACCTGAAACACCTGGGACGCAGAAACAGGCTGATTCGGAGGAACATGGGAAAATGTCAAGAAGAAGGAGCAAAATACAATTTCAGACCTCCAGCCCACCCAGAACAAGTTCAGGAGACACAGACATAGAAGACATTAGAGGTTACCGACCTGAGATTTCAACTTATTTCTTGTATTCTTTGGTTAATTTTACATGCCTATGTCTGATGACTTGGACAGCTATTTTGAAGATAACAAGATGTACTTTAGTAGCCATTGTTGATTTTCCTATTATTTGTTTTGAAGTCCTGTATTGCTTTCATTGTTTTCTTTTGTTTGGTTTTAATCTCCTTAAAATCAAAAAAATTTTTTTAAAAAAACAAAGAATTATACAAAAATCTCACTTGTAGCGACTTAATTATATGGGTATATCACAACATAACCATTCCTTAAGGCTAGACATTTTAGTTTTCAGGATACTTCAAATAATGTAGTAATGACCATATGATGGTAGGGGTGGAGAACCACAGATTCTTAAGAAGAATCACTGGGCATAAAATTCTCCCAGCCCCCCTCCCAAAAAAGTCCTACAACATTCTGCTAAACTGCCTTCCAGAAAGACCATCAATGTATCATACACTATAGGAGTATGAAAGTCCACAGTAACAATAAGCATTCTTACTTTAAAATTCATCATTAGGCTGGATGGTAAAAATTTTTTGAATGTTTGTGACTTCATGTTCTTTGCCTGTCTTTCTTTTTAACATAGGTTAAAATTACTTGGGTGCACACTCTCCTCACCCTGGCATACTGTAAAGTGTCTAAACTTCATCTCTTTTTCCCTTTGTTTACCCGTGTCTTTATCAAATTTATTTCCTGTTGAGATGGACTGGTATTGGACAAACTAAGCTTGTTTCTTCAGGGTAAAGAATATCCAACCTTAAGGCATAATGATATTCTCAAATGTCACTTAAAATCACTCAGAACTGAGAAAGCCCACTTGAAAGGTCAGAAGAAATGGAAACACGCTCCTGTTATTGCATAGCCACACAGGAATCAAGTCCTCTGTGAGACTAGCTAGGGTCAATAATAGCTTGTCATAAATACTAAACCATCTGTGTGTTTCATAAACTACATGTAAGGTAAAAAAGTTATTATTAAATCGGGCATGGAAGTACACACTGGGAGGCTGAGGCAGGAAGATCATCAGGCCTAGCCTGGGGATCTCAGTGAAATATAGTCTCAAAATAAAAAATAAAGGGGGGTAAAAAAAAGTGAAACCTGGGTGTGATGGTGTACACCTGTAATCCAAGCACTCCTGGGAGGCTGAAGCAGGTGGATCGCTCTAAATTCTAGGTCACTCTGAACTGCACAGTGAAATCTTGTCTCAAAAAAAAAAAAAAAAAAAAAAAAAGACAAAACAAATAAATAAAATAAAAAGGGGATGGGGCTGTACATCACGAAGGCCATGGATTCCATTCCCATTACTCCCCTCTCATACACAAAGGTTATTTTTATTTATCTGCTACATAGTTCAGGGTGGCCTTGAACTCATTAAGACCCCAGATTGACCTCGATCTCATGATGATCCTCCTGCCTGAGCTTCCCAAGTAGTGGGATTACAGATGTTAAATACCATACCTGGCAACCAATGTAACTTTTAATTAATATTGTAGGGGCTGGGGATTTAGCTCAGCGGCATAAGCGCCTGCCTTGCAAGCAGGCAGTTGTGAGTTCGATCCCTGGTACCAATAAAAAAAGACAAAAAAAGACCAAAAAAAAAAGATAATTAATATTGTAAGGTATTAATTTATGTTAGAAAACTAATTTGGGGGGCTGGGGATTTAGCTCAGCGGCATAAGCGCCTGCCTTGCAAGCAGGCAGTCGTGAGTTCAATCCCTGGTACCGATAAAAAGGAAAAAGACAAAAAAAAAAAAAAGAAAGAAAACTAATTTTGAATCAACCCTTAAAATTCCAGGATAAATTTATTTTGGGGGTAGAAGACACTGATTACACTGAATGGCAAAAATCAATAGTAAAACTAAGCTTTGTTTTGCAAACCCCACCACTACCTTAGGCAGTACTGGGGATCCAGACCAGGGCCTTCAAGCTGAACCACAACCCCAGCTTTTTTATTTTGATAAAGAGTCTCCCTAAATTGCTAAATTACCTAGGCTAGGCTCAAATTTGTGATCTTCCTGCCTCAGCGTCCTTGAGTGCTAGGGATTGCAGGCATGTGCCACCATGTCCAATCTATAATTCATATTTTTAAAACCTCTCAGTCGTTAATAAGTCACACAAACATCCAACTGTTTGAAGGGGATACATTGTTACGCAACATGAAAATAGTATGTTTGTGAAGTAATAAATGAAGCTAAAGAACTGTTCTGCCAATTTCCCCTTGCCTCCGTTTTATATACAGGCAGCATTCTTTTTCATTAGTGGACAGAATTCCTGGCTGGGCTATCTGATACTTATCCCCTTTGGCTGTTAATTCTAGTAGGTAGTTCCAGGGATAAGCCTATGTAAACATTCAAGAGCTTCTGATGATAACAGCCTACAGATACACAAAGTCTTAATTTCCAGAGCATAATGGAAAGATGGGCCCCAAGAGCACTTTTATGAAGAGCAAACAATATTTTGGGATTTTTTTTTTTTTTTTTGGTAGCAAGAATCAAACTCAGAGCCTTGCACTTATCAAGCAGATACTGTGCCACTCAGCTATATTCCTGGTTCTTCAAAATTCAGCTGCAGGAGCTAGGGATTTAGCTCAGCGGCATAAGCACCTGCCTTGCAAGCAGGCGGTCGTGAGTTTGATCCCCGGTACCGATAAAAATGAAAAAGACAAAAAAAAAAAAAAAATTTCAGCTGCAGTTGAAATTTCTTCCTTTTTATTTTGTACAGGGAATCAAACTCAGGATCTTGCTCCTGCCAGGCAGGCACAAACTGGTATATTTTGATAGCTACCAACCTCAAACTATGAGGCCCAGGTCATTAACATAATTTCCTTCGCTCAGGAAGAACAGATGTGGACTGCTGCCTCTCAGCTGACACAGGCATTCAGTACTGAGAAGTACCAGTGATTTCACCTCCGGGTCAGCCAGTTACTACTCTGCCTCAATTAGCTCCTCTCTGCTACACCCAGGAGACCCAAACCAAAGATGGGTGTTGTCAGGATGCTCAAGTGTACCCTGAGGTCGAATCCAAATGAAATGATAAGGTAGCACAGCTTCTCAGGAATACTTACTGTTTTGAGGGAAAATTAGTATCCTTTAGTGAGGCAAGATGGGACTAAGGAGCTATGTGATCACACACCACTGTAACCACACAAGGACAATGAGGAGTAAAACAGCCCCAGGAGCTAGACCTAGATAACAGGACAAGCATAAATTTTTTTTTTTTTTATTGGTATCGGGGATCGAACTCATGGACCGCCTGCTTGCAAGGCAGGTACTTATGCCGCTGAGCTAAATCCCCAGCCCCCAAGCATAAAAATTTTTACATACCAGTTTGAGTCAATGCAGTGGAGCATTTTGGGAGGCTAAGGTAGGAGGAAGGCAAGTTTGAGTCCAGCCTGGGCAACTTAGCAGCTTAGTGAGACAAAAATAACTTCCATAAACAAAAAATACAAAGACTGGAACTGTATTGGATTCAATCTCTGGTTTAAAAAAAAAAGTTTGGAAGACATTGAGATGAAATACTTGCTCCTTCTTGCCATCTTTAGTGATGGAAATGAACAAAGTTGCATTAGTATATTAGTCTTCTATTGCCATCAGAACACATTATCAGACACTTTGAACAGCTGAAGCTGAAAGGGTTTTGGCCTAGACAGGACACTGTAGCCAGAAAAGCCTCAACAGGAAGCAGGAAGCCCCTATCTCCCCACCCCTAGGAATTTACCTTTGACACCATCTTCCTGCCCCTGGGAATTTACCTATGGCTCGAAACCTACCTGTACATCTCCATGGGGTACCTGTACATCCCTAATGCCTGCCTTAGGTTCCACCCCAAACTGAGGCTATTTACATACCCCCACGCCACATGCCCGCCGGATCGCCAGACGCCAGCGGTGGGAGTGCTGGTCATCTCTCCGTGTTCTCAAAATAAAGGCCGCTTTTTATTTTATACTTCTTATCTTTTGGAAATATTTTTCATCTTTTGGAAATAATCCTAGCCTTTGGTGCCGTGACTGGATCGGCAGGTAATTGACTCCTGGGACACACCCAGTTGAGTCCTCTAGCCGATAACCAGATAACATCCTGGATTAATTCTGAGCTTTTTCCTCTCCTGAGACCTCCTTGTCGCCAGCTACCTGCACTCGCATTGGCCAGATTGATTTCAGGTGAGCACTCCCGGGGGAACTTTTGGCACTGGGCAGCCCCAGTCGACTGTTCTCCCCGTTCATGTGGGTCTGTATTTTCATGTCCTTAGGACAGCCTAGGGTAGGGTTCTTTCTGGGCAAACCTGTGTCCACACTCTATAAAATCTCTCACATTCTTTGGGTTCGGATAGCCCAAAGCAGAGATTTTTGAACCGCCCACACTGAAAGGACCGCCTCACTTCCCTTAAAGCCTCGAGCTTTCACGGGCAAAACTGTTACTGACCCCACATGGGCTCCACTCGTAAATCTCTCAGTGACGACTGGAATATACGAGTTTTTGGAACCAGAGCAGCCACGTGGTGCCACAAATGAGTGACGGCTTGTTCTGGACCACCGGCTTTTTTCTTGCCTGAATCAGTCACGGGGAACGTATTTTCTAACTCCCAAAAGATG